CAAAGCTTACAGCAACTAATCTGATTTCATGTGATTATGTGCAGTTTCATAATTGATTGTGAGGTTCATATCTATATAGGAGCTTATAATTACTCCGGTTAACAGCGGTTCGTTAGTGCCTCCCAGAGTGAATTGTAAATCCTGTAGTCCCACATATTGGCAGCGTTTCCATGTATCAGCTTTGGAGTCCTAGATTTGGGGATCTACTCAATTCTCTGACAGGAAGTGACAATTTCAATTTGCATCATTTGAACCCTTAAAAGGTGGAAGTAGTACATTGGGTCATCAACGAGTTTGAGAAATGATGTTCCCCTAGCCAGAAACTTGATGTTACACCCATGTATGTCGTTTCAGCCTGTTCTGATCAATAAAACTCCTTGTTTTGGTTTGCCGACCGTGCCGTGTGTTGTGGAATAGTTATGGGTGCATTGTTGGATTAGTGTGTGTTTCTATGGTTTTAAACGTGGATATATACCCCCTCGTTGAGCCGTCTGTGACAGCCACCATGCCGCGGAAACGAAGCGCTTCCGTGAACTTCCCAGGTAATTGAGTTTGTTTACAATGATTTGCATGCCTTAAGTACTGGCTAATTATGATTTGAACTTGATTAATAGACAGACGCATATAATGGACTGAGAACCAGATAAGTCTTGTAACATTTTTCTAGAGTGAAAGTTCTGAGTAAAAGTAGTGATTGACCAAAGAAGGGATGTGTATAAAAGCATGGATATGGTATAGGAAAATCTTAAAGTTTGTTTACATGTATATTTGTTACACCTGCAAGAAATGTGGCTTATGTGTGGGAAGGGGAAGGGGCAGATTGTTTTAAGAGGAACTATTTGAACATGACTGTATCCTCTTGGGAATAATTGGTGTGAAGGGACTTTGAGGGTGCTAAGCAATCCCCCCCCCCCCCTTCCTTCTTATTTATGATCAGTTTTACACCCTAATGTGATATCAGTAGCTATAACAAGAAACTTTGTGTGGAGTTACATAGCTACTCGTCAACTTCCATTTTGAATTGCATGCTGTATTCATTTGCAATTCAGCGTACTTGTACTTGACATTTATGTGAGTAAGAAAGAATTATTTGAAACAAAAAAGGAGGGAGAAAATATGTTATGTTAATCTTTACTCATCGTGTAGACCTGTTCTCTATCAGGTTTATTGCTTTCTGTTATATATAGATTGTAAAATACCCACTTGAATGGATGATGTATCCTTAAAAAACGGCAATCCCTTTATCCAATCCTTCTCCAATTCTTCTTTCTCCAATAAAGGTTTGTATGTAAATATCTCTCTCTTTCCCCCTGTGTGTGTGTGTGTGTCTCTCTCTCTCTCTCTTTCTCTCTCTCTCTCCCTATGTTTCTTTCCCCCTTTATTCATCTCTTTCTCTTTCCCCCTTTGTCTATCTCTTTCTTTCTATACATTATTCCTTTTATTCTCTCTTCTTTGTCTATGTACGAATATATTGTAGACAAAAGATGTTACTTGCTTTTTACTCAATGTGGTATCGGTTGATTGACTGGAAGAGATTGTTCATATCTTTTGTTACCCTAAAGTACTCTCACTTTTATCTTTGAAAATCTTGTTCAAACCTTTACACATGATCTGTGTAATAGCTCAAACTTGTAGGTTGTGATGACATCAATATTGTTGTTATCTTAAAGTTGCAACGTCATTGTGATTTTACTAATCTGTGAGAAATTAATAATATGTTCATGAATTATTATGAATAGACATTTTTTTTAATCAAAACCATCTTTGTGGAATTGTACTACAGCAGGAAAATTATCACACTTGTTGCTAACAGGCCTGAATATTTCTTTCAGCAATACATGAAGAATTGTGCATGAATAGAGTGACTATGAAATTGAAGTATCTGTTTCCAATGAGGATGTTAATGAGCCTCTATTGACAGATGTGTTAGACTTAATTTGAATTTTCCAAATACATAATCTATTAGTTTTCAATGTGTGAAGGGTTTCCCAGTGAATTTTAGTCCGATAATCTCAAATAAGAGATTAAAGATGTGCTTGTGACCGGGTGTGTATGGGGTGGCAGATCTAAGAGGGGCGATAATTCACACTCCCGCTAATCTCAATGTTTCAGCGCACGGAACATCCCCTAGTGCTGAATTTAGGGGCTTTTTCCTGCCCACTTTGCGCTCAACAAAATCTCCCTTCCAATGTAAAGTATGAAGGGGAGATGGTATGGTGGGACTAATAACGATGAATTCACACTCTATACACCCAATGATTCATCGTATAGTCTTTATTAGCTTGTGAACAAACTTGAAGTAATTGTGGTGATTAGTTAAATTATCTCTGTAGGGGCGGCCATATTGAATTGGTGAAAAGATTTTATTAGTGAACTGATCAAGTTTGTCTTGCTGTTAGGGGCATTTAAATTGTGACTGCTGTGAAAGGATAAGCCCCTAAATGATTCTGAGACAATCGCCCAAAGATAAAAAATGTGATTACAAAAAGGGAATTTGGGCTGTATTTTAGCTTTTCTATCTGTTAGAAAGAAAAATAAATTGTGCTAGGGAGTGGTCCATTAAAGATATGTGTATGCCCGGGAGGGGTTGATTGGAATATATGCTTGGATTTGACAGTATATGTGTATGCGGGAGAGGGGTTGATTAAAAAATGGTTCTACTAAGAACTGACAGCATTTAGGAGTTGTCAAGTTTGAATGAGAGGGCATATATTGCTCTCTTTCCCATATCATCCATTTTGTTTTCCAGTCCCATTAAAAATGTACAATGCATAACATAAAAACACATTCTTACACAAAGACCTACAGTTATAATAGGTAAACAAACTAATACAAACAGCAATTACATGTACATGATATATTACTTCATAATTCATGAGCCTGCTTCAATTTTAAATCCAAATAATTAAATTTAAAGTCCAAAATATTTTTGGCTGTAGTGTTTGCCTTACTGGCACTTCAGCAGTATCATATATATTTTAATCTTATATTTTAATCTTATTTGGTGTGAGCTTTGTTTTGTATGAATGTTTTACATTGTGCCATTGCAAACAATAGCCGCTTCAGGTAACAACAGATAATTGTTGATGCCAAGCCAGCAGTTCCTGTAAAGGTTTAAAGGCCACTTTAAAAAATAAACATGTTAAGCGTCACCGCCCGCTTCTTTTTGGGGGGCCGCCTCCTATTTTTTTTTTTTTTTTAAACAAAAAAAACATGAAAAACAGTGCTAAAATGGATCTATTTCTGATTTAAAATTTTTTTTTTGTTAAAGCTGATACTCTAAGACAATCCCAAATACTGAGATAATTACATAAATAGAAAGCTTTTAACCCCCATAATAACACCAAATGGTGTCCACCCGACAAAACAAGTTTAGAATAATGAATTTATTCGAGTAAACTCTACCAAAATATCTAAGTCTGAAACCCGGAAGTGCACGTAGAGTCGGGCCTCTATCCGTGACGTCACGAACGGGAGTCATGGGCTCAGTGAGAGTGAATGGCAGTGATATCCCTACGTAAATGCTATCCTGTCAGAGCTTAGATTTGTTGTTGTTAAGGAGTATATTTGATGGATTTTCTGTTTTCATTTGAATGAAGAATAACGAAGCAACATTTTCCAGTCGCTGATTTCTTTTTATATCCTCATATTCACCTATTTGGTAGAGATTTAAGACGAGTTTACTGCTTAGGAATTAAAGTTAAATCGTGCACTTATGAATAGGCGGATGCATTATAAATTATTGTCATCAGATGTACATGAGCAGTTTTGTAAAACGAATAGGTCTAGAACTATGATAGTACTTATCATAGATGTGTGTGACTGCCTCAAAAAAGGATACAGTACCAGTTAAACATTTTATGTTGTAAAATATCAAACTTGAACGAGATCATGCAAGCGCGCTTCCTCTATAATATTTTGGCGAGTGATGCGGCTCTTGCATGAACGTTCATGGAGCGAGCAGAATCGGGAGGTAAGACCAAGCCGCTGCTCTAGGCGCTGCTTGCTTGTGATGGAACGTACGTGCGCTAGTTATATGTTTATCGGCAATTGCAAGAGAATGAAAGTGACGTTGCCAGCTAAGAAAAACAACTAACAAAGACTTGCTCCTGACTACCGGTGTCAGAATTGGTAGATGAAGGATGTTCAGGGCCAAGAAAGGCGAAAGACATGGGAAAAAGGAAGAAGAAACCATCGGGAGATCGCTGCAGTGTATGGTAATGAACTGTGCATGGGTGGACAGCTACTGTTCACTCCGTGCCTGGGCCGATTTCAACACCAAAACAAAAATTACATGGTGAAAATATCGACTAATAGCACATCGTTGGCATGTATATGTCATAATTTTTAAAAGGGGAATTGATATTAATACTATGAAGTACTAGGGGAAGGTAAAGAATTGTACATAGAATTATGATTTATTAGACTTTTCAGCCTTTGAAACAAAAATATGCAGAAAATCGTATCACTCTGCACATGTTTGCTATGGAACATCCGGGTACGTGAATATACTCTCTCCCGGACGTGAGGTCATAAATAGTAGACCAGCGTCGTGACTGATTTTCTATGCAAAGAGAGGCGGATATTTTAGAAATTTCAATTGAGGATTTCGAGTAGACAGAATTTTTTTGTGATATACTAAGTAATTGAAAAACTTAAAAATAACATATACTTGCCGTAGGTAACAAATTAAGGGACATTTATTTGCTTAGAGTATCAACTTTAAATGTCGGCGGCGATCTTGAAAAATAGCCCGACTGTCAGGGAAAATGTACCAAGCGGACATTTTGAAAGAAAAAAAGGAAAGGGCCTCCTCCTTCCTATTTTTCAAAAAAACAGGACGCTAAACATGTTTTTGTTTTTTTTTGGCCTTAGGGAAGTCCTAATATGGCCAATCAAAATACTACTCAGATGAAATCGAATATCTCTGTTCATTACAACACTAGTGATGACTTTTAGTGAATTATTCATTTTGATCATTGTTTTTTTTCTTTTGCCAGTGATCCGTGGGTTCCTGGTACGGAGACAGATGAAGCACCAATGGGAGATTGTAGAGAGCCAGAGAAAGTACATCGCTAGCTTCCTCTCTGATATTCAACTCAAGGGGGAGACATTGATCCAGGTTAGTCAAGTAACATTCATGTTTTATTATTGAAATCAAACATGAGAAGTGTATGAATATGTATATGTTTGTCTTTACATCAATAACTCTGTGACCTTTATCATATATATACTGACTTTTAATTTATTGCAGATCTATCACATCTCTGCTCTTTCTACTAGAGACGATTTCTGACAGTGATATTAATACAAATTAATAATAATTGATTGTAAAGATACAATTAGTTTTGGAAGATATATTAGATAGTAACTCTTTATGTTGCAGGGCCCTTAATTGAATAATGTCCCCATGATGAAGTGAGAGTTCTCCATGCATGCCTCACATAGCAACATACCTTTCTATGCTAGTTGGAGGTGGAATAAACATCATTATTTTTGGCAGAGGATTAAATTAAGATACAAATTTTGCAGTTGGTATCAAAATCTTCTCAACAAGTAAACTAATTTTTTTAAAACCTTTTTGGTGGGGTGCAGGAGCTTTCTCCATTCTTTTATTGATATTCCTGAGTTGTACCTATTCATCTGGGGGTTTTAATTTCACTTTTCATTTGAGGGTAATTTTGAGATCTGTTGATATGAATTATAGTATATAATCTTATTAATAACTAATATGTTAATCAGTCATGTATTTTGTATATATCCCATTGCTCATTTCTGTTTTAGTTTTTTCATTTGGACCTATTTTAAAGCCATTGCAAAGTGCATGCTCCATCTAACTACACTGTGTACTGTACATGCTCCTCTAATGAAGAGTAGTGCCCTTAACACGAAGCTTAGAAATAGATTGTAAATTATGGTAAACTACATAGTAGCAACAATGGTTAAGTTATCTTTGTGATACGGTGCTGAGAAGGAAAAAAAAAGTCATTTGGAAAAGGTTTTAGGGTCAATAATAATAATAATTCGCCTAATTTACTGTTACCTTTGACATCCAATCAGCGCTCGTTATATTAACGCCTTGTTCCTTTTAGTTTCCATTTATATTGATCGATTTTGGCTTTCTGTTCATTTTTGCGTTTTACTCTGATGAGTGCAAGTCAAAAAGCTTAAGTTATGGCTCTCTTCAACGCTATTCTCTAATAACTTTTACTTATATAGCGCTTTTCATAAGACATTTATATCAAAGAGCTTGTCAATACCAAGACCAAAATACATTAAATAAATCTAGGACCTTCAGTCTTGCTACATCACTGGTTACAAACATGTACCTTCAGATATTCAGCATGCTAAGTTTGCATGTCATGTTTTATTTTGCTTTTTATTTTAATAATTAAGACCCTAAACAAGTGTGAAGAAGGTTGCCCCGACGATCATGAACAAGAAGATGAAGAAAAAGAAGGAGAAGAAGAGAAGGAGGAAGTAAGTCGTCACTAAATCCTTTTTTACTTGGTTTTCACTGTGCTGTGCTCCTCGTTCATATGTAACCTTTGGGTTGTATCGGCACCTTAATCGTTGTATACCCCCTTCAAGTTATATAACAACCAATTAACATCACATGTGCATATACCCTTCATATATCTAATCAAATAACATTGAGTGTGTAATCAGCACTTATTTACTAATTTGCACTACCCTTGCATCTAAGAACAATGTTACCAAATGAAGCATTCTTTAAAAGTGAAGGAAGAAATAACGGATCTAAAATTGATTAATAACATTTTTATTCAATATATTTAATTGGTTTCAAATACTTAATTATAAAATTGTAAGTGATTCCTTTCTAAAAGGTATTAAGCATATTGTTCTCCAGCCAGTGGCCTCTTTGAGTCATCTGCAAATGATTAGCACGCTGTATTGAAGGAAGCAGTTTTGTTTTGGGCATATGACCAGCCAATGTGCTGTAAATGTATGGCAGAAGAAGTTTAGTTTTTCACAAAGACTAAGATCAACTTAAGTTGGACTTGAACTATGGCAGGTCATTCATGCCTCTGGTTGCTGTCACCATTCATCTCTCAAGGGACAGAATTCAAATTGTTGACAGTTCAATGTTACTTACGTTGTAAACTTAAGTTATATTTAAGACTTGGATCTATACTACAGGATGCGATTTATGCCCTCAAAAAGTCTTGAACCAGATGTAAAATTAGAGGGAAACCTTAGAACTTGTGATCTTTATATCATATTTTTTCCTTCAATATTGAACTATCAAAAAATGTCAATTCGGTAGATATCACAATTTGTACGTCCCTTAAGAAACCAATTCAAGGAATGGTTAGAGGAGCTAGTGGCATGAATGGCCTGCCATAGTTAAGTCCAACTTAAGTCGATCTTAGTCTTTGTGAAACACTCCACTGGACTAAAACCGTTGGAACGTCTGCTGAGAGCCAGAAGGCCATAATTAACTCATATTATTCCAATGAAGTTCACACTAATACCCCTCTGGCTCATAGCAGACGATGCGCCTCTCATGTGCATGAAGTTCTGGTAAATGAACATAGCGCAAATTAGTCAACTTTTTTGGTTTGCGGCTATGAAGTCTTTTGGCCATGGATCTTCCTAATTAGATTATGGTTGACTCTTATTTTGGGTACCCCTGCTTTGCCTAATGTATGTTTTACTTTCAATGCAGGTATGCTGTCAGGGGGGTTCAAAGGTTCAATATTTTGATTTTGATTTTTTTTCCCCCCTTCTTTTCCTCCTTCTTTTCCTTTTTTAAAGGGTTAATGCACCAGTGTTTTTTTTAACCAGCAAATTCACTTCTAAATGAAAAATATTAAAATATTTGTGGTATCGATTTCCACTGCAGCACTAATGTCCTTTGCCAAGAGATTACATTTGCCACTTTCCACCCAGGTGTAGTAAAGGGTATTATACCTTGTGGGAATTCATTTCTGGAGTGCTAGCACCTTTGTGCCGCTGAGCTAAAGTCAGGGTAATAATAGTACTTTGTAGGCGATTTGAGCATCCCCTAGGATGATTTGCGCACAATATAAATACAGCTTATTTTATCATCATCAGAATTCAGATTAACTATCATACTAACTCAGACGATTTGGCCACTGATAAACCAGCGCCAAAAAGGTGAACCAATACATTCCAGTGGTTGAAGAACTATTTTAACATGTTTGTTTTGGTATACTAACCTACATGCTATCAGTACTTGATCATTTATCCTGATCATAGGATATCATTATGTAGCATCTCATAACAATGGGTATAGATCCATTTATCTACATATTATTATTACACAGTTTCTTGTGAACATTGCAAGATTTACCGTGTGGTTGGTTGATTTGTTGAAAGTGAGATGCACATCATTTCAAAGGTAAAGGTGTGTTCATTAAAAAAAATTAAAATGTAACCCTTAAAAAATGAGATTAGAGTTGTTTTCATGAATGAGATTTGTGCCAGTCAATAGACCAGTTCACGGTTAGCACAATGCCCCTAATGGCCCCTAATGACCCCGAATATCCACAGATCTTCAAAACATGAAGAGGTCGTCCCACTTTGTACCTTTTGACTCCTACAGCGATGAAGGTATGTGCTACATAAACATATCCTTTGATTTCCTTTTTCAGAGAATACTTCCACCTGCGTATCATGGAGTGCACTGCTTGTGCATAAATAAATAATGATTACATAACTTTCATGAGCACGTATCCAGTATTTTGTCTCTGTGTATTTCACAATTTGGTCTGCAATGACCTTTATCTGCTTATGCTCAGACTGCAACCGTGAACTGGCTTATTCTTCAAGGATAGACATGATATGTATCTATACTTGATTCTTCTATTTGCTGTCATTTGGTAGACTTTACCTTTTCTTTTTCACTACATGCCTGCTTATCAAGAGACATAATGGCTTTGGAGTTGTAATCAATTAGACGAGGAACATCTAACGATGGGGGTATTTATAGCATCACATTTACTCATTGACTATTGGAGCAAAGTGTGAATGATTCAGTCATTTCTCTGTTAAGTCTTTATTTTGGCTGCTCTGACACAAAGTGAAAGGATGAGAGTGTTGTCGGTGCAACCAAATGGAATAATCCCTCCACATCGAGGGATCCTACAAATTTCAGCCCCATAAATCACCTGACAAGACGCAATTACGGAATGACAAGAGAGGCAAATGAAGTGCAATTGGTTGTTAATTGCTAAGAAACATGGAGCCTCTTTGTAACGCTTGAGATACCCCTTGTTTTGCCTAGTAACCGTTTCAAGAGTGAGGGAGAGCAGGTAGACCGGGCTTTCTCCGCCAACAAAGCTGATATGAGCTGACAACTCCAAATCTCTTAATCCCTCATTGTCATCACCGCTTCATAATAAACCCCGTCGGTGAATCAGTTGCACGATCTCGGCCCGTCGTCCTCGCACCTCGCTCTCTCTTTCTAGATACGTCAGACACTGTGCTTCCTGCCGGCGGGAAATATGCAATTTATTCCCCGCTGCTTACTGGATTGGGTTTATGACTGTAGCACTGTAGCTCCTTCAGTTCCCCTCGCAGACTATACATCTGGGGTTTAATACATAGCAGCATCGGGTTTTGAGAGTTGTGTAATCAGTTCCGTGTGAGCTGGGACTAATTTTGTGGATGTATGCTAAGGAACCATTCGGGACAAATGACGGCTGTGGGTGGTTTCCGCTTTTCGCAGGTAACCACTTTTGTTACACATATTGTATTGATTTGATTGATTCAGTGTAAAAAGTGAATCTGTGGAATGTTGTAAGTTGTCCTGTTCAGATACTTTACCATCTTTCAATGTCTACAGAGCCTTCATTTACCAGTTGTATCAATTAGCCGTTTTAGTGCTTCAGGCATTTCAAAATGCTAGAATCTTTGTATTGAATTTCATACTTGAAACCTAAAAAGTGTACTTTCCTCTAGATTAGAAAATATGATTTGATGTGACACTCACTTTACCTTCATGATAGATGCTGATAAACAACTATTCTTTCAGTGCCTGGTAGAATATGTATTTTTGCAAAAGAAAATTGCTGTAGAAGCCTTCTTGTTCAATCCTTGGAAGTGCTGTTAATCATAGCAAGTTGCAGAGTATCAGACTGTCTGAGATAATGATCTTTAATCATTTTTAAATCTATATTAATAAATAGGCAATAACGATACTCTAGACTGAGTAGGGTCATTATGCATGTCCTCAAATGCTTTTGGAGTATGGTTATCACTAAATTGCCTCTAGTATGCTGTTGATGGCACAAAGCCAATGTGATCTGAGCATCGGGTGGAAGGCAGATGGCTAAAGCCAGTCTCAGTGGCTGAAGATAACATCTGCTAAGAGCCAGAAAGATGTTAGTTAATAATGCCGAACCTGGAATCAATGCCCTTCTGGCTCTCAGCAGAGAATATCTACCGCAAATTTAACTGTTCATCAAAGCCATGATCAATTACCTGTCATAATGGAGGTTGACAAAACAGGTACACAGAATAATTTAGCTCTGTGAAGCTCCAAAAGTGCTTTGGAAAATTTGGAAAAAAGAGCTATCTTTAAAACAGAATATAAAGACGTAAAGCCGAAACGAAATTCCACTTTTGAAACTCTGGTTCTTTATAGAGGATATTGCTTGAAGTCTGTCTTTTATTAATTAGGCATATCAGCTAATGCAATATAATATTGGTATACTCTACTTCTACTTCTACTTCTGTTTCTGCTTCTGATTCTGCTTCTGCTTCTGCTTCTACTTCTCCTTCTCATGATCCTTCTCCTACTTCTCCTCCTACTACTGCTACTTCTACTTCTTCTACTACTTCTTCTACTTCTCAATTTTGATTTTTACTCTAATTATACTCTAATTACTCCTTCTAGTCTCACATCTACTCTCACACCCACACCCACTCCACTCTAACTCCCCCACCCACAAACACTCCCACCCAACCATCCCCACACTCTCACTCCCTATCCTATGCCCACACTCCCACTCCCACTCCCACCTGCACCTGTATGTCTACCTCTAATATGGCTCCATCATTCTGCTGCTGCTCTTCATTATGCTTCCAGTTCTACTGTTCTTGTTCCTGTTTCTGTTCCTGTTCCTGCTACTGTTCCGTCTACTCTTTCTCCTGTTTCTACTTTGCTTCTGATTCTACCTCTTTACATCTATTATATATTACTCCAGCTGCTACTTTTAGTAATTATACTTTAGCTTCTACTCATACTGCTACGTCTACATCTACTTCTACTTAAATTTACTGCTGTTTCAAGTGTAATTTCTGCGAAATTCTGTTACTATTTCTACTGCTACTTCTTCTGTTATCTCCTCTCTCACCATATATCTATACCTTTGTCTTTCTTCAGTTTCAGCCATTTTCTTTCTTTAGTAGCTTTTTCTCCAACTATTTTCCTCATCTGTTTTCCTGTCAGAATATATGTGGCAATATTTTTATTGCCCCCTTCTCTCCCT